TGAGTGTGAGGAGTGTGGGAAGAGCTTCAGGCACAACTCTGTCCTGATCCAACACCAGAGGATCCACACTGGGGAAAAGCCCTTTGAGTGTGGGGAGTGTGGGAAGAGCTTCAGGCAGAGGGGCCACCTAATGCAACACCAGATGATCCACACTGGAGACCGGCCTTACGAATGTGGGGAATGTGGGATGAGCTTCAGCCAGAAGGGCCACCTGATGCAACACCAGAGGATCCACACAGGAGGAAAGCCCTATGAGTGTGTGGAATGTGGGAAGAGCTTCAGCCAGAGCTCTGGCCTGAGGAAACATGAGAGGATCCACACTGGGGAAAAGCCCTATGAGTGTGGGGAGTGTGGGAAGAGCTTCAGCATGAAGTGCCAGCTGACAGAACACCAGAAGATCCACACTGGGGAAAAGCCCTACAAGTGTGGGGAATGTGGGAGGAGCTTCAGAGAAAGCTGGGCCCTGATTCGGCACCAGGTGATCCACACGGGGGAACGGCCCTACACCTGCTTGGAATGTGGGAAGAGCTATGGGTGGCACACTGACCTGAGAAAACACCAGCAGAGCGTTCACTCTGGGGAGAAGCCCTACAAGTGTTCTGAGTGTGGGAAGAGGTTTCAGACCAGCTCCAGTCTCCTGGTACATCAGCGGACTCACACAGAGGAGAGGCCCTTCCGCTGCCCCGACTGCGGGAAGGGATTCCAGCAAAACTCCAAACTCACCATCCACCGGCGTATCCACACTGGGGAGAGGCCCTACAAGTGTGGGGAGTGTGGGAAGAGCTTCTCACAGAGCTCAATCTTGACCAAACACCAACGGAGGCACCACTAAGGGAAGCCCTGTGAATACCCCGACTTCAGGAAGAGCTTCATGCACGGGAGAATCTGTGTTGGCTGATCCCCAGTGACCCTCACTGGGCAGAGACCTGGTGATCCATGGTCCTGCTGATCTGTGTTGGGAAGACACCTAGCTGGGGGGCTCCACATCTTCCTGGCTCCCCGTGGTCACGTGGATGTATACAGGGGCAGGGACATCCATTGGGACGCAGACCAACAATGGGAATTCCTTGAGGAGAGCGGATTTGTTGACTTTCAAACCCCTAAAATCTTTTGCATTCAATCCTATCTTCTGGTGGCATCAAGGAATACTGAATGGTCTTGGAGGTCTTTTCCAATTTCAGGGATGCCACGATTTTGATTTCCTGTTGCCCAAAGGTGTCTTTGGCAGACAAATGGTGAAAAAGTGGAGAGAAGACCAAGATTTTTGAGACAGTGAGGTGGGAACTTCACCAAAAAATGTTCTTCCCTCCCACCAAGCCACATAGGTTCTCTGCCGGCATGGATGCGGAATTCCTTTTCTTTTGGCCTTGATTTTATTTTAATTTCTCTTCATCCCTTTAAAATATCTGATATTGGAGTAAAAACAAAGACATTAAATTAAGATATGCATGTGGTTATGGTAGGACACAGTCATGGAGAGCAGCATGGGGACATACGGTCATGGATGGGAATGGGGACATGGGGGGATGCAGTAATCCCTTGGTCTCTGGGCTTTATATGAGTCCAAATCTGGCTAGCTCTGGACTCTAGCCCACACGGACTTGCAGAGACGGAGATAAAAGACAAGAAGCGCTCTTCTCCACGTGGGAACGAGTATCCTGTTTATTGGCTTGGGACAGAACACTTCTGGTGACGGTGACTGTTGAGAGTTTTTTGCAGATTGAGGAGTTTTTGTTAGACAATGGCCATATTTAGCCGATGCACAATCCAGCCTGCTTGTAATAAGGGACAATAGTCACGTTCACAAACAATGAATAATGGACATATTCAGAAATGGGGTCGGTATATCCTTGAAAGCGATACAAGAAGAAGAATCTTCAGGACTCAGCAAGTTTATCAGCAAGTTTGGGAAAGTCAGAAAAAATTGAGCCATGGGTGGGCCAGACGAGCACAGCAAGATGCGTAAAAAAATAGGTGATCCAATCAGCATTCTAATTTAGATGTGTGAACAGCTAGGATTAACCAATCATGTATTAGCTAGAGACGCATGGACAGTAGAGATTTATTATAAATATAGTCTTTTTAGGGATAATAAATTTGGCTCACTGGATCATACTGGTCATGGTGTGTTGTCCCTGAACCTCCACACCCCGCATTTCTGGTGGAGAACGCGGGCAGGCCCAATGTCACAGCACTAAAGGGACTCGAGGTCGGCAATTTGGCTGCTGTGCAGAGGATGGGAGCCAGCCCTCGAGGAGCGGAGCAGCCGGTGTAAAGTATCCTCACTGCCCAGGGAGAGGGAAAGGTTACTGGAGCTCCAATCGTAGATGACTTGAATCTCACCCTGATCAAGGTGAGCGGCTGGGGAGGAGATGGGGTCTGAACATGAAAGGGAAGGTGTTCAGAAACTCCTCCAACATATCCTCTCTAAGAGAGAACAAAAGTATGATGCTTCCAATTTGAAGGGACTATTGCAATGGGCTTGAGACCATAATCTCGTAGCAGGAGCACAGGTTGCTTTTGAGATTTCAACATGAGAAGCTGTGGGGTGGATGTTGTGGGACTGTATTGCATCTGGCAGGAGTGAGGCAAAAGAGGCGTCTAAATATTCTACTTTGTAGAAAATTATCATAGAGGTGTTGCAAGCCTCAAAGGCAGAGAGGAAAGCTGCTGCTGCGGCTTTTGCAGCTCTTGCCTCTGCGTCAGAACAGCCTCAGGCATTTCCAGTAACTTCAGTCCAGCAGCTGTTTTCTACCACCTTAGATATTCCCTCACGCAGCCCACAGCCCCTCAGCTCAGAATGGAGCATTGCCCCGACTGCTCCTCCAGCTCAGAGCGAGAAAGAGGAAGCCGCTGCCTCTTCGGGGAGCTGGGCTATCAGACAAAGGTCAGTTGTACTCAGAGTGAAAAAACCTCTTCAGGGGGATCAGCCTGCAGAACAAAGGACAGTTGTACTCGGAGTGAAGAAACTGTTGGTAACAGTAACTTAGAAACTAAACATGCTGTATGTGAAAAGGATAAGGAAGGAGATGTTATTATGAATAATACTTCTATTGGAGAGGATTTAAAGTCTTTAGTGGACAATTTGCAAAAATTGGTAATTCAACAAAATGATTCAGCTGTCCCCAAAAGAGACTATTCTTTTGAGAAAATGGACTTGCCAATGATAGTGGGTTCAGACAGACAACCAGGAAAGTGGTTACCACCCTCCCAGTTTGTCTCTGAGCCAGCATTTGAGCCGGTTAAACAAATTCCTCCCTCTCACGCTGTAAAAAATGTAGAATTAGAGTTGGAATGTGACCCTGAAATAGAAGCAGCTCAGAAACAAAATGGAAGGGAGTTATTACAGAAGCTGTGGTAGAAGGGACTTTTCTCTCAAATGATGTAGAGGCTTTTCCTGTAGTGACTAATGCTGCAGGTAGAGTTTGGGAGCCCTTTGATTGGAAGATTTTAGAAAGGTTAAGAGCTGCAATTTCACAATTTGGTTTAAAATCCCAACTTGCACAGTCACTTCTGCAGTATATTTGTACATCTAACACATTAATTCCGGCATTAATGTGTATACCCTAATAAGACTTATAATGCCACCCTGTCAGCAGGTGATGTTCCCTAAAAGCTGGGAGGAAAAGTGTGCTCAGGAAGCAGCAAGACCTGGAGTGCAGGGTGATCCTCTGTGTGGTTTAACAGCACAACAGTTCCTTGGCAAAGGGCCCTGGGCTGCTGCCACTGCCCAGGCTAGGAGCATTGATCAAGTCTTACGGATGAGCCAACAACTAGCACATAATGCCATCCTTGCACTTCCAGATGGGTTATGTATTAAGTCTTTGAAACAGATTTGCCAAGGAGGGAATGAGGGCTTTGATATATTTGTAAACAGATTGCATGAAGCTATCTATGATCATCCTGATTTGGACACAGACACAAAAGTAAAATTGTTTAATGTGTTTGTTTTTGACAATGCTAATGATAAAACTCGGGGGATTTTGGGAACATTAAGGAAGGGAGCTGATGTTACAGAAAAGCTGGAACTTATGGCTAGAACTACAGGGACACAAAAAGCAGCCCATGTAGCTGCTGCAGTACAGGATGTGGTAAAACCACTGCTTTCTAAACTGCAAAAGAGAGCCGAAGGAAAGAACATTAAGTGCTTTTAATGTGATAAAATCGGACATGTTATGAGTCAGTGTCACTCTGCAACTATGAAAAAAAAATTGTTCTATCTGCAAAAAAGATAACCACAATACTAAAGAATGTTGGTTCCAGGGAAACGGGTCTCGGAACATCTTCTCTCCGGGCATCACAAAACAAGTACGGAGAGCTGCCTGGATAGCTCAGCCTCCCATGGAGGAGGAGGGCTTTGCTCACTCACATCATCAACTCTGGAAGCGCCAGAGTGGACGTGGAAACCGCAGTAGACGTGACCATCACGGACTCTGCTGATAGACACCAATGTAAAAGGACCCTTGGGGATGGGCTGAGTGCTTGTCTGTTAGGGAGACCATCTGCCAGTAAAAAGGGATTGGATGTAATTCCTGGGGCTATTGATGCAGACTATCAAGGGGTTGTTAAAATTATAATTAGAACATTTTTCCCTCCTGTATCTATTCCAAAAGGTTCACGAATTGCTCAGCTTGTTCCTTTTAAGTCTTGTGTCCCCTGTACAGACTACAAGGAACGGGGAACAGGAAGCTTTGGTTCCACAGGTAAACCAGAAGTATATTGGGCCATGGACATCACAAGAGGTAAACCAGACAAACAGGTAACCCTGACACATCCTAATGGTGATTCTATTACTGAGAAACTCATAATTGACACTGGAGCAGATGTAACCATCATTTCAAACAATATAGAGCCAAAAAATTGGGCATTGGTTGATCCTGCTTTAGGCATTGCAGGTATTGGAGGGACTCAGGCAACTCAGATGAGTGGGGAAGTAATTCCTTTTACTTTCCCACATGGAGTGAATGTATCTACAAGGCCTTATGCCATGCAAACTCCTGGTACTTTACTAGGTTTCCTTGGTAGGGACCTGTTAAGCCAGTTAAAAGCTACCATTGTTAGACAGCCTTTTTGGGATCACATTGCCACAAAGGTTGCTACATAGCATGCCCATCGTCTGATTGAGGATGATCCAGTTCAGTTGATGATCATCAATCAGAGCAAAGAGGGTGACAATTATGCCAAGCATCCTTTTGCCTTGATTTGTTAAATGAGTTAAAACTCGGGCTAATCCTTTCGTTATTTTGGAATGGTTATTTTACCTGTAAAACAATCTAGAACTATTACCATTCGACTGGAACATTTTGCTCATTTGATTATGAAGGGCAGAGAGAGAATATTGGAAATCTGGGGACATGAACCATATGCAATTGTGGTACCATTGGCTAACTGGTTTCTTGAGTGGGGAATTAGGCATTCTGTTTCTTTACAGATAGCTTTAACTAAATATGATGGTAAAGTTCACAATACTTATCCATGGCACCGGGTGTTATCTTTAGTGGAGCATCAGCATGTGGAGGACAGACCCTGGAGATCTGACTGTCCCGTGTCTGGACAGACAGCATTTACAGATGCAGGGAAAAGGTCAAAAGGGCTGCCTGCACTTGGCAGCAAGACAAAGTGTGGAAAAAGCATGCCATTTTTGGAGAGGTAAAAGATAGGTTGCACATTAGAATTGAAAGCTGTGATTTGGGCTTTTGAAAATTGGAATAATGAGGCCATTAACATTGTTTCTGATTCACTTTATGTATTTGGCTGTGTCCAACGCCTAGAAAGAGCAGTACGTCAGGAGGTGAGTAATGAGCATTTGTATTCCCTTTTAAGCTGATTGCTTAAAAACCTAAATCAAAGAGGGCAGGAATACTTTATTACTCATGTTCCCAGTCATCAAGCTCTCCCTGGTCTGTCTGAAGGTAATGCTCGAGCTGATCAGTTGGTAGCCACTGTCCGGCCAATGCCAAACTGATAAATTTCAGCAAGCTAAAACTTCCCATGCATTTCTTCATCAATCTGCAAAAATGTCAGTTAAACAATTTGGTATTCCCCTTACTGATGCTTCTGGTATTGTGCGATCCTGTCCTGATTGTCAACGAGATGGCATTAGTTTAGGCACTGGTGTTAACCCTAGGGGTACTAAACCTTTGCAATTATGGCAAACGGATGTAACTCATGTAGCAGAATTTGGTCATAAAAAGTTTGTACGATTGCACTGATACCTATTCTTGTGTTATATGGGTTACTCCCTTAATAGGTGAGACAGCACGTAATGTTGAGAAACATTTGTACAATTGCTTTGCCATATTAAGTATCCCCTTAGCAATTAAGACTGATAATGGTCCTGCTTACTGTTCCTTAAGATTCAAACGTTTCTGTAATTTATGGGGTATTCGACATGACACTGGTATACCTCACAATCCTACTGGTCAGGCAGTTATTGAGCGTGCCCATCAGACGTTCAAGGAAAGTTCTGTTTTATTTTTTTTTACTTAAGCGAGTATATCTTTCTCATCTTTCTGTTTATGAAGAAAGGTCTCCTTGTAGCAATTGTTTTGGGCGCCCCTGGACACTCTTATCTGGCTCTTTACCTAACTTATTCTTTTTCACTCACACACACTCTGCAAGAGAGATACCCTATCTCCCATTCAATCACAGTCCATTCACACATCAGGCCTGTTCATTTACACTTCTCTGGTTCTTGGTGCCTTGCCCTCCCGGACTAGGTTAGGTACCTTTTTTTGACACCCCAGAACCTTACGTACTGACACCCCTAAGTTTCCCCACTGACCTAGGTTCAGCACCCCCATAAATTTTCTTTTAGTGGACAGAGGAAAAGAAACGTTAGCAAACCTCTTAGACTCACACAAAGTGGATCCCTGTTGTCAAAGCATCGCTGGTTCATGTAGGGCCCTACCGTGACTCCTTCCACCTCCCCCGAGGCTTGGCTCTCCCTCTTCCCTAGAGATAGCCTCACAGTCAGGGGTTCGGACCTCCGCACCTTGCCCAAGCTGGACTTCCCACCTTGGCACCCTGAAGGATTGGCCACAGGACTACTGCTTGCATCCACGGTGCTAAAATGTCCTATGATACTGCAACCCCCCTCACGTGGGGTTGCCTCT